AAAAACAAATGCAACTGTTCCCACGACTGGATTTGTGTCTGCCGGGTCAACGTGACAGGGAAACAATACGAGTTAAACACCCAGCCGGAGGTGATGACGGGAGAGCTCGCGTTGTGACCGGGCGACGTGACACATGGAGATCCCGCCACCCACAGGGTCCACTGGGCGCAGCAGGGACTCAGAACCACCTGCCTGCTCTCCCTCCATCAACCCTCCTCTCGGGAGTCACAGTTCATCACTGCCAGACTTTAAGAAGTAGATAAAATATACCTGAAACTGATTTTATGAACACTGCTTCAAACAACAGAGCCTAGGGCGCCTGGGTAGTTCAGTTGGTTAAGCATCTGACTCTGGCTCAGCTCGTGATCTGGTGGTTTGTGGGTGCGAGCCCCACGTCCGGCTCTGTGCTGACAGCTCGGAGCCCGGAGCCTGCTTTGGATTCTGCGTCTTCCTCTGTCTCTGCCCCTCCCCTGTTCACACTCTGTCTCTCTCTCTCTCAAAACTAAATGAATATTTTTAAAAATTTAAATAACAAAGCCTGACAGGGTCTTCCCCTTAAAGGAAGAAGGTAATTCTTGCTCAGTGCCTTCAGCAAGGAAGATGGGCAGCACAGGGCCAGGCCCCCACGGACAGGCCGCCGTCACCCAGAGTCCACGGTTTCCATCCAGTGATGCGCACCGCACGGGTGTGGACAAAGGCACCGTGATGTGTGGCCACCATCACAGCGTCACACACAGCAGCCCAGAAACGTCCCCTGCACTCGGCCAGGTCACCTCCCCTGCCACCCCCGGAATGCCTGATGCCTCCCGACCAGCTAGTGACCTGGCTTCACGCGCTACTGGGTGCCTAGTCCCCAGAGCCAATGCCCGTGGTCCTTCCCCGCTGTCCCCTACGGTGACCTCACCGCCCCGTTTAACATGACCATCCTTTGGCATCAGTGACACTACAGTCTCCCGGCTCCCTCCCACACACCCAGCTGCTCGTTTCAGTCCCTCTCGAGGAAAAGAACCGTGTCCCCCTACACCCTAGGCTGAAGGTCTAACCCCAGGACCTCAGAACACGGCTACGTGTGGAGACGGGGCCTCAAAGGTGATTAAGGTAGAATGAGGTCGCTAGGGCGGCCCCACTCCAGTACGACGGGTGTCCTCATCAGAAGAGGTCAGGACACACACGCACCGAGGCACGACCACGTGGGGACACGGGGAGGGACGGTGTCTGCACGCCAAGGAGAGAGGCCTCTGAAGGAGGCTGGGATCCCGGATGTCTGCCTCCAGGCTGTGACAGGTGCAGGCCTGTGGCACCGCCCGCCGCACTCAGAACAGCTCCCCAAGCTGACTCTGCTTCCCTCCACGGACCCCCTTGCTTCTGCCCCCAACAGAGAGTTCCAGCGCACCTGACACTCTCCCTACGGGGAGGCCGGACCTGCTGGAGGCCCTGGTGTCCGTCTGCACAAAACCCCAAGTCCACACCCAGACCCCCTGCTAGAGCCCCGGACCCCCATCCAAGGAGCTCTGCTGGGGTTTCCATGAGGCCCTCCGACCCAGCCCTGCCCCCACCCCCCTGTGTCCCCGCCCACTCCCAACCTGCCCTGCCCCCGCCCCCCTGCGTCAGTCCCCACCCACTCCCAACTTGCCCTGCCTCCCATCCCTCTCTGTCCCCGCCCACAAAGCCCTGTGGGTGCCCAACGCTAAGGGTCACAAGAGTCAACTGCCCACAAGGCTGTGCGGATCAGGATCTCGGTTCTTGAACTATGATGTTCTCTGTTGTCAAATAGCGGCCTTCAGTCCACACCAAAGCCAGAAGGCACACCCACAGGCTACCAGCCAGGAAGAAGCCATCCACCCACAGAAATGGGGACACTCTCCCCCCACCCTGTAAGGACGCTGGCCACACGCCCAGAGCTGCCCGGAGGAAATCTTCCAGGGGAACCGAGAACAGGGGTCCATGGGGGGATCCTTTCCACCTCCCGGCTGCCTGCCGCCCAGGGTCAGTTCCCAGCTCACAGGGCCCGGGGCCTGGCCCACAGATGGCTTGACCGAACCGGCTGGGCCCCACAGTGACAGGCCTTGCGGTCAGCCTGCTTGTCACTCGGAACGTGGAGAACAGGGTGGGTGTGGGCTTGCAGGGAACGCGGGGTGGTTCTGCCCGACGCCCTCGGCAGCCCCCCACTGTCCCGGCTCCTGCCTGGCCCTCTTTCCCTCCTCCGCTGAGACAGAAGTCACAAATAAAAACGTGCACGTTTCAGGAGCACACGGGAGGACTCCGAAATAACCACCCAAACGGGGCTGGTTACCGTGCACCCCACGTTCAAGCACCACTTCTCTCCCGGAGAGCACACGTCTGAGCTGCCCCCTCAGCACACTTCCAGAAGACAGCCTTGCTGCCCCCCCAGCCCCGGTCACATCACTGCTCTCCAGGTATCGGAAGTGCTCCCGCCCACCGAAGCCTCGCAGAGCCTGCCCGCGGTCCCCTGGTGCCCTGGGCTTCACAGGCCGTGACTCCCCTTCCCAGGTCCCCGGCCCGGCCCACCAGCACAGCCACCCACACCCCGGCCGTGTGGTCAGGGCCCCCCTCCCGTCCCAGACCAAGTGCAGAGGTGCATCTGGGGGCGAAGCCCGTGGGTGGACGGGCGTTCCTGCAGATCCACTCAGTATCACTGCCAAGGCTCCGTCACGCACGGGACCAGCCCCAGCCGGCTGCTGCCAGATGTTGGGACACACGGAACGAGAGAAGGGCGGCTTCCGGTTCCTTTGAAAACAGCGGACAAAGCGTGGTGGAAAAAGGCACGCACCGCCATCAGATTTTCAACAGTCACAAGTCCCACACGCTCTTAACAACTGGTGCGGAAAGGGCTTCTGGGCCTTTTATTTTCTAGTTTTTCCCCAACAAGTGCGGCAAGCCCACCCTGGGAGCACCACTCTGCTCTGCCGTGACCACGCTCCAGACACGGCCCGGCCCAGCCGCCCAGTGTGCACACCACGGGTATCCCGGGGAGAGCAGTCAGCACGGCCCATGCAGGCCATGGAAACCGTTGACACGGGATACAGGGACCGTCCCACGGAAGGCAGCCCACAGGCTCCCTGAAGCTGGGTGTGCCAGCCCCGGGGACACGCCCGGCCACGTGTGTGTAGGCTACACCCAGCTGGTAGGGGAGGAAGCAGTGAGCGGTTCTGGGACCTTCCCAATTATGACAATCGAGTACGATCCAGCCTGGAGGAGCCTCAGTGCCACCCCAACACACGGCGGACACCTGCACGGGGGCCATCCAGGACCCCCCCCGTAACCAAAGCCCGCCGGTCGCAGCCCGAGGAGGGAGCCAGCCCCCCCGGAAGGCGCCCCGCAAAGGAGCAGGTGCACGGCCTGGGCCGCGGGATTCCTGGAGTGCCCTCCAGCGAGCCACCCTCACCCCGGGGCTCAGGAAACTCTCCAAGGTCGACAGCTGGCTCTTAGGTCACACCCGAGTGCAGACTCTGGCTGAAGGTGTGCAGGGGTCCCTCTGGCCACATAGCCCAGCATCACTGGCTCCTTCCGGACCAGCCCTCCCCACAGGGCTCTCCAGTCGAGCTGAGCCTTCCTGGGGGGCCCATCGCCCAGCAGCCCAGGCACCCCTCGGCCCGAGCCCTGCTTCCCCACAGGAGCGGCTCCACCTGTGGGCTGCCTTCCTTCTGTTCCGACTGGGAGCCCGAGGCCCAGAGCCACCTGCAGCACAGAGCCGGGCCAGGGCACTTCCCAAGGGCCCACGCCTGCCGGGAGCGGGAGGGCATGGAAGAGCCACGGGCCCTGCGTGGGTTCCTCCCACACTCTCGCAGCTTCACATGCTGAGGGTTCTGCCTTTCAGGCCCTATAGCCTCCGGGTGTGCAAAGGACATGTGAGTCTGTCCACGGGGGCACGTCTGGGGAAGCCTCGGGAACGGGGAGCCCGGAAGGAGGCCCTGCCCCATGAGCGGGGAGTGACACCAAGCCCCCGACGCCCCACCGTGGCGAGGGGACAGGACAAGGAAACGTTAACTTGCACCCCTCCCTCACGGTCCTCACAGTGGTGGAGGGAGGCAGATAAGGAACGTGCCCCAGAGCTGGATGGGACGTCTCCCTTCCTCATCATCCTCCAGGCCACCCTCCATGCCGGAGGGCACTGATGGGTCCCCACAGGTAGGGCTCACAGCAGGCTGTGCTGGCCCGTGCCCCGCGGGGGGGCCCAGGGCCGGGGAGGCGCTCAGCCACGTTACCCCAAAGTGAGGATGGGCCCTGGTGGCCAGGGGATGGGGAGGGGGGGGCGGCTGAGCTCCACCTCGTCGGTACCTGTAGTCACCCCTCCCCGTCCCCGAGGGGGAAAGGGCCCCCGAAGGACGCCCCATTACCTTCGGGCGCGGGGGCGGGCGGCTCTGGCTGGTCCATCGTGCAGCTGGGACGCTCACTCCTGGGAGCCCTGGGGAAGGAAAGACACCACGGTCACCACAGGCAGAGGCCGCCCTGGGCTGCAGGGGGCTCTCCGGGCCAGGCCAGCGGTCATCCACGGTGGCAGCTACAGGACCAGCCCCTCCCCCACAAGGCCTGCCAAGTGTCCTCCGAGACCACGCCCAGAGCACGGAGCACACAGTCCTGGTGGCCTCGCCCCCCCCCCCCCCCCACCCCGGGCCTCGCCGGGAGCTGCGTCTGTGCCCATGCTTCGGGGACGGCCCCTCCCGCCCCACACACGTCTCCGCATCCCGTTCCCTCCGCTGCAGCCTCCAGCGAAGCCCTCGCCGCCCAGGACCGTGGGCCGCGCTCACGAGCTCTGAACCCTGGGTCTGGGCCGCATCTCCGCACACGTTTTCCTCTCTTCTTTGCAGATCCCGTTCCCGCACACGCGATCAGAGGAAACCCAAGTCTGAGAATGAGCGCGAAACCAGCCAAACCGTGAGGAGCTCAGTCCCCGGGCCGCGAGGCGGCCGTCCCGTAAGCCCCCTCCCTGTTTACGAGGGTTTAGGGTATCAAACACCTGCCCGGCTTCCACCAGAACGAGCCGGCGAAAATGTCCAGGCTCCGATGCAGCAAGGTCAGCAGCAAGGGACAGTGACGACGGTGACAGTGCCCCGGCCACCATCCGCCCACAGTGCGGAACAGGCTGGAGGAACCAGGACGCAGCCCGCTGTCAACCCACGCGGGAGAAGGGACTGCTCATGTGGGCTCTGGCAGGGCACCACTGGCACTGCCTGCCCAGCCACGCACTGAGCACACACAGGCCCCACACCGGCCCCCACAGCAGCCACGACCTGGCCCCCGCACAGGTCCCACCTGGGCCACGCCCTAGCCACGCACA